ACGCTATTATTAAGAAACTGTGCTCCTCTTCGTTTCAACTATGTTTGGGGTAATACAATTAGAGCAATACACACGCTAATAAGTTTTCCCAGTTTTACCACTGTAATGGGGACACAAATTCACACATCACTGCATGTAAACACAAGATTGCCTCTTACTCTTCACAAGACAACCCAGGCCTAATTCCTGAAAATTATTGCTCTCTTAGAATCTTCCAGAGAGAATGCATTTGTGAAGAATGAATATTTCATTTAATCCAGGAGCAGCTTGTAAAGAAAAACATACCATGTAGTTTCACATACATACGTGTGTAAACATGGTTCACTAGCACAAAACTAATCATTTTGAAGGTCAAGAATGATTGAAAGTATCCTTTTAAATGTTTTAATAGAGTTATTCTGAAGAGCTAATGTATAATACTGTAAATTTCATCAATATATTTTACCTGTGTCTATTTCTATCCAAAAGTAAAAATTCCAAGGTATATCAGACTTGTTAGACCTAACAAGTGTAATAAGAAGTGTATTGATATTCTTCATGGGCTAACACAATCTGAGGTGTACACAGAGTGTTCTTCTTTGGGAAAAGAGCTCTTAGCCAATTTAAATTTAACTTCATGAGAAGGAATTAAAAAGCCAAATGCAGTAAAAGCAGCAACAAAAAACAAAACAATAAAAGCCCAAAAGCAACCGAAGAAAAATTAGATGAAATATCTTCCTAAGGAATCATTTTAAATTCTGATTTGAGGCAGTGTAGACAGATAGGACTTCTGGGACAAAGAGACGCTCTGGAAATGTTTAAGGCGACCAAAATTTTGAACTATGATCTGCATATTTTATATTTAAAGTGAAATCAAACTTTTCCATTTTTAAGTTCTAATTGTGTTATGGTTTGGAAAAGACATAAACCTTTCTGCTGAAGGAATAGCTAAAGACTAGCATGGAACATGTAAAAGGACATAGATGATGATGTTGATGGTGTTGTTGTTGGTGATGATGATGATGATACTGCTGATGTAGCATATTTTATTTCTTCTAAAATCCTATCATTCTGCTGCCAACTTAAAAAGGTCGTCAGCAAATTATGAATTTTCTATCAATACTTATCTTTTAATTACATTGAAAGTCACTTCAAACTGAAGCTTTTTCTCTCTCTTTTTTTTTTTTTTGTGCTATACGGACCTCTCACTGTTATGTCCTCTTCCGTTGCGGAGCACAGGCTCCAGATACATAGGCTCAGGGGCCCAGCCGTTCCGCGGCATGTGGGGTCTTTCCAGACCGGGGCACGAACCCGCATCCCCTGCATCAGCAGGTGGACTCTCAACCACAGCGCCACGAGGGAAGCCTCTCTTTTTCTTTTTATTTACCTCTCTGTAAGCTTCACGAGCCTTCCTGTTCTAACCAGGGCACGAACTCAATAAATGGGGCAGTTAGCTGATTGGTGGACGAGTTGACTGGAACTGTTAGGTGATAGGGTGGTCGGATCTCGTCGAAGTGACTGAAGTGCAGTTCTGTTTATTGAGGGGCTTTCACCTGTCAGCTGACAAAGCTGACAGCCCAAAATTTTCCTGTTGTAAACATGAATAGCACGTGAAAAACCCTGTTGTAATAAATACTAACTAAATCAAAGCACTCATCATTTGAGGCTGAAAAATCAGTCTGACAGTAAGTTCCTCTACTTTTTAATGGAAAATGAGAACTTTAGTATTGTATTTTGTGAAAAACTGATAAGTGGGAAAAATAGAATCCAAATAACTAGTAAAGAAGAAAATATAGCAGCCACTTCCTGAGTCTGGAGGATTTGATTATTGGCACTCAGTCTTCACTCTCTCCAACCTACACAGTTTAAATTGTTCAGCAGTTTTATTGATAGAAGACCATCCTTCCCTGCAAAAACCACCATCACCCTCACGTTGTAGAGTAGCCCATTGGGCTAGGAAAACTGTTGTGTTTACAAATGCAAAAAAAATGACGTGGTGGAGGTAGGTGACTATCTGAATAACGCAATCAAAATGATTTACATTTCCCTCCCATTATCTGAATGATACATTCATATAGTGTTGCTTTATGTATGTGAGTGTGCATGCTTGTCTTTTGTCTTCCTAATTATCTTCTAGTTCATTTTCCTATATAATAAAATTTTAAAAACCAACTTGGTCTGGTGGCGCAGTGGTTGAGAGTCCACCTGCCAATGCAGGGGACATGGGTTTTGCTACGGTCCGGGAAGATCCCACATGCCGCGGAGCAGCTAGGCCCGTGAGCTATGACCACTGAGTCTGCGCGTCTGGAGCCTCCGCAATTGGAGAAGCCACAACAGTGAGAGGCCCGTGTACCGCAAAAAAAAAACAAAACAAAAAACAAACAAAAAAACAACTTGGTTAACTCAAAACATTGCAGACTTGTTAGTGTATGTTCAGCTACTTTCTTAGCACTGATATAAAAAAATTTAGTGTGTATGGGAGCAAAGTAATGTTTTGTTCACATTAAAAACCAAAGCATCATTTAACTAGAGAACATTTTGAAAAAAAGTAGGAAACATTCTCCATTTTGACCTGAATAGAAGAAGACCAGGCTTATATCCTGGAATTGCTAATTTGTAATCACAAGAAATTTTAAAGGGAGAGGAACTGCCCTGTCTAATCTTCAAAGATTATCAGACATTTTATTTTAAAAGCATGGTTTTATATTTCCAGAGCTATGACTGACTGAGGTGTTTTCTTATTTTCTCAACATATACGTGTTTTCTCCCCATAATAATAAAAACCCTTTTTTTATAGTAAAACGTAAATCACCAAGGAATATGAGAAAGGGGTCTGTCACTTAGCCTGAACTTTTGTTTTTTGGCTCTTCTGATGTGATTATTCAATGCAGTGGTAACTGCTAAACTGTGTGAACCTGAAGCTCCCTACAGGCATATTTGAGGGAAAAAAATGTACAGATTACACACTTCCTCAGTTTTGGACAATTAGAAAGGGGCTTCAAGAGAAAATTGTGAATTTTACATTTACAGTGTGTTCACAATCTGGTACTTTCCCTCTTATTTACATGCACTTCTCTGAATATTTTTAATGTGATCAGGTTCTCAATTCTAATAGTAAACATTTCAATGTACATTTACATCCAATTATGCTTATCCTGAGTCATTCATTTTCTTTTTACAGAAAGAAATTGAAGATTAAATTTCATACTTATATATATATAAACACTAGTACACTGGTGTGTTTAGATCAGTAGAATGACTGAGGTTGGAGAGGAGAGAATGTTGGATTCAGAAAACAGAGATGATGCTATACATATAATTTCATAAGAGTTGCCAATTATGCTTAAATATTGAATGGCCTTGAAACGAGAAGCATCAGTAAACATTTCTGAAGGTATAATTGGAATAAATATATGTTATAAAAATGCTTTTAAGTTATTTTCTTCCCCAGAATTTCACTGGCAAATTGTCTCCTCCAGAACTTCTTTTAAGAAAGAATAGATTGAAAGTCTTCATACTGTTAGAAGTTATAAAGTAGGGAACTGTGTTTGAAGAACAACTTGGGCTGCCCTCCTTGAGTGGAATGTGGTCAGGACACCTCCAGAGCCCTCCTCTGTGGGTGAGTGTGCGGTTGATGTATTAGGGACAGGGTGAGACTGCTAATAGGTAAAATTCTCCAATTGAAGAGAAATTTCATTTAGGCCAATAAGTTCAAACTATTTCTCTACAAATACTCATTGTTATTTTATGTTTTAAATTGGATTCTCTAAATAAAAGCCAACTGGCTTGTGGCCTATGTAGCAACTAAAACATCAAATGGCAGGAAGGAAGTTGACGGGAAGAAACTCAGTATCTCACATTATATAGACATCCTTGAAAACTGCATGATAAATATATCAGTATATCTGCTTTCACTTGATACTAAACAGTGTTCATACAAATAGACTAATTTCAACTTTTTCTGGTCTTTTCCACTCATCTTTTCTGTGTATCGTCTGCATTCAGTAAAGTGTATGAAATTAGCACTTTTCTATATCTTCTCTTCATAATGTTTTATCTTTTTTCTGAGTAATATATGTCCAAATATATAATTTAAAAAAATGTAATTTCCAATAAAACAAATACAATTTTCTGAATGAGAAAGAGGAAAAAAAAGTAGTACGAAATTTTTAATAATGCCAACAGATATTTATGTGTTAACCTACCGGTAGGACTTTTTCTTTTCCTATCAATGATGGAAAGCTTCTGAAGAGTCATGTGAAGTACATACTAGCATCCAGTTATAACAAAGAACTAACATCAAGAAGCAACTTGGCTTTGTGTTATAAAAAACTATCAAAAGAGTAATAATTTCAAGGTTTTTTTTCCTTTGGAATCTTGCTACATATCCATATTTCAAAGTATAAAATAATTTTTTCTTCAAAATGTATCATTGATGATAACCATTACCCATTTTTTTGCTTCTAAAGTTGATTTCACTTGAAACAATATTCACTAAGAAAATTTTGTAAAAATTCTATCTACACTTCTTTCACACACTGGAAAGCAATGTCAAAACAATGGCTTGTGAATGCTGTATACCCATCTTTGAAAGATAATCATTGAACTCATAATAGCATATACTGTGGGGTTCACCTTCGTCTAGTAAAACACAACTCAAGGTAAAATGTTGAACTACTGGTGTTCAAAGATAAACATCTTTGACTTTAGCTACATGAGAATTTTGAAAATTCATTTTTTTTCTCAACTGAAAACTTGTGGATAATACATATACATCCTTCCCAAGCCTAGGGTGAAGTTATTAAAGAATGCCAACCAGTGAAGATGGTGCCAGAGCAAAGAGGCCACAGAGAGAGGAAACTGGGTGGTAACTCACTGCAGTTCACACTTGAACTCAGATTGCCTGGGCGCTGAGATCAGTAGAGTGTATCTTGGCCAGCAGTGACTTCGCATACATGGACACCGGTGCTGCCAACGGTTGCAAAGAAAAGATACAGAAAGGGGCCGGGCCTAAGAGCTTCTCAGATATTTGCTTGTAGGTTTCACAGATTTCTTCACAAGGAAAATTCGCAGCTGCTTCCAATATCCAGAAAAATATATCTCCACGTTACAGATTCAGTAAGAATTAACAAGAATATCACTTTAAAACTCAATTAACCTGTTTGTGTGCTCGCATGTTTGTGTGAGCCTGAAATACATAATAGAAATATTTGCCACATACTCCTACGCTGCTCAAAGGTATTACATAATTTCAGATAAACTGAGTAGTATCTTTCCTTGCTACTCCAATTGATCACTATTGGTCTGGGTAGGGCCAAAGTTTAGAAGGAAACCTAACACTCTTCTTTTTTCACCAGGAGGAAAATTTAGAGATACAGATATCCCACCCAATAGACCAAGTTGAAGAGCAGGAACGATGTAGGGAAAAAGACCCGAGAATATGAGTCTAGTTCCAAGATGTCTATGTGAATACGCCCTTTTCTCCAAGATCCTGATTTGCATTCTTCATAGCAGCAGAAGAAGCTCTGACAGTCTTTCCCATCCAGACACTCATAGACACAGGTGTCTTCAAATTCCTGCCAGTACACGGAATTGTTTAGGGTAACCATTGCCGGTGGTGGTGGACTCATATCAAGGAGAGAATAGTTCTGCTGGCAACAAGAAAAACACAAATATCAACATGAGATGAATCAAGATCAGCCCAAGGTGTATCAAGAAATAAGTACAGTTTATGCCTGTTCAATAAATAAAGAGGACTGTGCCATGCCCTATGCCCACCCTCATTCCTGCTCTGAAAAGTTCAGTCTTTGCAAATTTAATGCATGAAAAACTACAGTGACGTTTGCAAATCTTGTATTTCTTGGGTTACTGATAAGGGAGAATAAGCCTATTTTCAAATGTGTATTTGCAATTTCAAGTCCCTGTTCTGCCTACTTCTCTTCTGGTTTAGAGTATACACACACACACACACACACACACACACACACATATAAAATTCCGCAAATGTTAAAAAATACATAAATAAAGTGTGGAGAAGTAAAGTTCTTTTTTTTAAATTATCAAACAGTATTTTTAAAAAGTACATAAGGATGGTGAGAGAATCTTCTTGTTCCATGCAATTCAGGTGAAAAATGAGTTTTCAATGTGTGGATACCAGACATTGCTTGTCATCTCTAGATAGCCAAAATCTGTGTACAATTGGAATGTTATATTTTCTACTTCACAAGCTCTCCTCCTGATGTTGGAAGTCAGTATGGAGCAGATAAGGAGACAGGACAATTTACAGTCACACATAAATGAGAATAGTTTGATTAAATATATTTGTAGCTCTGTGGAGTCAAACCACAGAGAAGCAGGTAGAGATGTAGAGCATTCGGTATTACTACTGGTAGCCTTTGGGGACATCATTTTAATTGGGAAGTGATTGTGTGTGAGGACCGACCTTAATCAAGATGTCCTCCTCCTACTGTGCACAAGCCAATAGCCAGACAGGAGCATCATGGTGCAGCTGTCTACTTTCATCAACAATTCTAGGCAATGGGCAGAAATGAAAATTTTGCTCTAAGTTAGGTTATAATGTAGATACATATCCTCCCTCTCCCTGAGAGGGTGTAAATATCACCTGAAGGTTTGCTAAAAAAACAGATTCCTGTGTCTGTCTGAAGTACTAGTATTTTTCTAACAAACTCCAGTTGGAAAATATCTGCCTTTATTGAAAATGGCACATGAATTTTGACAGTGTTCAGCCAGATTTTCATCATATTTCTTCAACACTTTGTACCTGTGTAGGGTCACACAGAGAAGCTCAGCAATTACAGGCAGGCGAGCCCAACAGAAGGAGCTTATCAAAATGGACATCAGAAGCCTCTGCAGGGAAAGAGCTCACTAGAGAGTCAAAGGGTGCTCATGGAGGTCCCAGGCTAAAAACTGTAAGATATCTGGGACAAAACTGCCTATCACACTCCCTATCCCACCTCTCGAGGTGGTCACACAGCACCGAGCTGATCTCCCTGTGCTATGTGGCTGCTTCCCACTAGCTGTCTATTTTACAATTGGTAGTGTATATATGTCAATGTTACTCTCTCACTTTGTCCCAGATTACCCTTGTTCCTCCTCGTGTACTCAAGCCTATTCTCTAGGTCTGCGTCTTTATTCTTGTCCTGCCATTAGGTTCATCAGAACGTTTTTTGATTCCACATATATGTGTTAGCATACGGTATGTTTTTCTCTCTTTATGACTTACTTCACTCTGTACGACAGACTGTGGGTCCAGCCATCTCACTACAAATGACTATTAAGTTTCACTTTATGACTAATCCATTGTACATATTGTCATATCTTCTTTATCCATTCATCTGTCGATGGACACTTAGCTTACTTCCATGACCTGGCTATTATAAATAGTGCTGCAATGAATATTGACGTCCCTGTCTCTATTTTGAATTATGGTTTTCTCAAGGTATATGCCCAGTAGTGGGATTGCAACATCATATGGTAGTACTGTTTTGGTTTTAAAGGACCCTCCATACTGTTCTTCTTAGTTGCCGTATCAATTTACTTTCCCACCAAGAGTGCAAAAGTGTTCACTTTTCACCTTCGCAGCATTTATTTGTAGTTTTTTGTGTGATGTCCATTCTGACTGGTGTGAGGTGAAAACTTGTAGTTTTGATTTGCATTTCTCTAATGATTAGTGATGTTTATCATCCTTTCATGAGTTTGTTAGCACTCTGTATATCCTCTTTGGAGAAATGTCTATTTAGGTCTTCTGCCCATTTTTGGATTGTTTTTTGAAATTACGCTGCATGAGCTGCATTTTGGAGATTAATCCTTTATTTGAGGTTTTTTTTCATTTGAGGTTTTTTTTCATATATATATGGCTTCATTTGAGGTTTTTTTTCATATATATATAATTTGGTAGGCAAAAGCTTTTAAGCTTCATTAGGTTCCACTTGTTTACTTGGGTTTTTATTTCCATTTCTCTAGGTGGTTGGTCAGAAAGGATATTTCTGTGATTTCTGTAATAGAGTTTTCAAAGCTTTTGACATAATTCAAAACCCATTTATGAAAAGACTCTCCAGAAAGTAGACGTAGAAGGAACCTACCTCAACATAATAAAGTCCATATATGACAAACCCACAGACAAACCCACATCATCCTCAATGGTGAAAAACTAAAAGCATTTCCACTAACATCGGGAAAAAATTTGCCTACTCCTACTGTTATTATTCAACAGCATTTTGGAAGTTTTAGCCACGGCAATTGGAGAAAAAGAAATAAACGGAATCGCAATCGAAAACAAGCGGTAAAACTGTCACTGTTTGCAGAAGACATGATACAACACCTGGAGTACCTTAAAGATGCTACCAGAAAACTGCTAGAGCTAATCATTGAATTTGGTAAAATAGCACGATATAAAAGTAATGCACAAAAATCGCTTGAATTCCTACACACTAACGACGAAAAATCTGAAAGAGAAATTGAGGAAACATTCCCATTTACCACTGCAACAAAAAGAATAAAATTTCTAGGAATAAACTTTCCGAAGGAGACAAAAGATCTGTATGCCGAAATCTATGACACTGTTGAAAGAAATTAAAGACGATACAAACAGATGGAGAGATATATATCATGTTCTTATGTTGGAATAATGAACAATGTGAAAATGTACTACCAAAAGCAATCTACAGGTTCAATGCAATCCCTATCAAACTATCCATGGCATTTTTCACAGAACTAGTATTTTAAAATTCACAATTTGTATCGCAACACAAAAGACTACGAATAGCCAAAGCAATCCTGAGAAACAAAAGGAGCTGGAGGAATCAGCGTCCCTGACTTCAGACATACTACAAAGCTACACTAATTAAGACAGTATGTTACTGGCACAAAAACAAAACTAGATAAATTGGAACAGGATAGAAAACTCAAAGATGAACTGACGCCCACGAGGTCACCTTATCTTTGATAATGGAGGCAAGAATATACAATGGAGAAAAGACAGCCTCTTCAATAGGTGGTGCTGAGAAAACTAGACAGCTACAAGTAAAAGAATGAAATTAGAACACTTCTTAACACCATACACAAAAATAAACTCAAAATCGATTATAGATTTAAATATAAAGCTTGACACTATAAAATTATTAGAGGAAAATAAAATAGATATTTTAATTAAGGAGTCTCCAAGGTCATCTTCAGTCCAGCTAGGTTCCTTGCCGACTCACTCCTGTTTCGCCTGTTTGTATATTGCAGCAATGTGACTTTCTCAGAACGCTGTTTCCTGGCAGCAGATACTACTGCACACCCAGAGTGGACTAGCCTTGCATACTATGGGCTGGGAAATCGTGGCACAGTTATTTGGACAACTTTCCCCAAAGCAATGTGTGGTCATCAGTGGAGTCTGCTGCTGACCCTCATCGCAGAGAGGTTGCTCATCTCTGCTTTTCCTTTTCGGAGGTAGTGGCCCGTCAACTAAACTAACATGTGGATCTTTCAGAATAGAGTTGAAGATATTGTCAGCTAACTCCCCCTTCCTCTTTCTTCTGAACTTCTGTTGAAGTTTTCTCTGACTGCGTCTTTGCACATAGCCTGGAACTTTTTCTGTCTGTGAATTATTTTTCTATGACTTTCTTCAGGGTCATTACACTTTCCTGCTTAAGAAAAATAAATTCTTCTAGCTTCTAGTTATTCTTTCTTTTGACAGTATCATTTCTACACCACTGATGTCAATATTTCTTTCTCCACTCCGAGCACTCTGGCAGTGTGAAGACTGAGAGTGGAGGAAGATATAATGTGCTCTCCGGCCTCAGGCTATTCGTTCTGATATTTCTCTGTTATTCAGCATCCCCCGCTCCCACCCGTTCACCTTACTTTTCAATGCGTTGTTATTTGGCAGCATTTGATGGCCAGAACTATATGTTCACTGTGTAAAAATGGCCTTACCTTCTGTCAGAACTACAATGATACACACTTGAAGAAATGCTGATGAAAATTGTCTGAAATGCACTGAACATACGGTGCTGATCAGCAGTTAGAAAACCAATTGTGGTGTATGCTTGGGCATAAATTATTGTCAATTTCTGAGTTCACATGTATAAAGGAATAGAAATAGTTATACGTAAAAATTGTTATATGATAAAAGCGGTAGCGCACATCAATGATTTAAAGACATATTTTTCAATTTTTCAATAAATTCTTACATTAATCCATACAATCAATATTCAAGCACATTAATAATTAAATATAACACTTTTTCTTTAAATTGTGAAACCTTACTCAATATTTAAGAGGCCTTATGTTTTCAACATCTCGGCGTCCTTTCAGTAGAATGGGTGTTGTGAGGATAAATGAGTTGATACATGTACTGGTGGAATGCATTTTGGCAAAACTTGTGCAATCTTTGGCGTAGCCAATTTTGCGTCTAAGAATTTAGACTAATAGTTACAAGTATGTACAGAACTGTAATGATAAAAATATGTTTAAAAGTGAAAAAGTGTGGATTAGCCCTTTGTCCAGCCAAGATTGTGCATCAATCATGAACATATGATACAATTATTAAGATGATCCTATAAATTAATATTTTGACCCAGAAATGTATTTATAATTATTTTTGAGTTACAGGAATATATATGGTATACACTTTTACCCGGGGGGGTGGGTAGGAGTGATTTTTTTCCCTTTATTTTCCAAATTTTCTTAATTGGACATATTTTAAAGAATTAAGTACATTTTTGAAGGGAGTACATGCATTATTCATTGGCCTCCAATAAGTGCATATGTAAACAATAATATCTTTCTATTGTAGTTTATCCAGAGTTCTCAGAAATATTTGCACTTGCAGTGCTATACGTACGGAGGGGGCTTGTAGACTTAAGCGTTCATGAATCCATCTTGAGGAATCTGGATATAGTAACTACAAGGAAATCAGAAAAAGTATTTAGAAAACTACTATGGAAATCTGCATCACAAAACACTGGTAAAGAGTAATCTTTAAAGTATGAGCACATCAGTCCACGCCACTGGTAGGTGAAGCTGAAGAGTGCTTGAATGTCACATTCATATCTTTGGAATACCTGTGTTGTATTTTTAAAGACTTCTTCAACTATTTATATCATTATATACGATCCTATGAATAAGAATCATTTGCCTATCCTCCCAGAAAATCTTTGCTACTGGAACTCACCGATGTCTTTTTCTTAGTGCTAGCTGGTTTTCTACAACTTGAATAGTAGTTGAGGGTAGCATACTCCATCAAAGCAGCAAAGACAAATAAGAAGCAAACGGTCACGAAGAGGTCCATGGCTGTCACATAGGAAACACGAGGCAAGGATTTCCTGGCTATGGTGCTGAGTGTGGTCATGGTCAGTACTGTGGTTATGCCTGCACAGGGAACACATACCAAGTTGTGAAAGGGGTCACACAGAATCCCTCCATTGCGACACAGTGTTTTATTTTTATGTGACTGCTTCTTGACATTGCATAAATAGAATACATTTAATTGTAATTGTTTAATTTTGTAAGCAACAGTTCCATAAAATGTTTTATTATAGTCTTCACATTAACATTAAAATACCTGAATTAAGTTAATATCTTCCAGTTTATTCAGTTATTCTCGTACTGTTTGACATTTTGCCTCTTAAATATATTTTTAATGAAAATACAGTTTTCAGTCCCCTGTACTTTCCATCAGTTCATCATCTCACACTTTTTTTCTGCCCAGATAAACCACTTTTTGTCTTCTCCTTCTCTATGCAACTTGTAAACTCTTTTTCTTGAAGACTCAGCACTCTTTCTGAGGCAAACGGCTTCGTAGTACCCCAGGCAGATCTGATAATATGTAGTTTCACTATTCCTGTACCTTCTATGTACCTTACTCTTCTGCTTCTCACAGAGAGTTGCATATGTCTTTGCAGTATGTCTCCCTGAACTGACTGTGTGATCATTAAGAGAAAAACTGTATCTTGCTCATCTTGCTTGCCTATTACCTAATATTGTGCCTAGCATTCTAGGCTTTTCAATAAGTGCTTTGCATAAGTGTATTGATTCTTTGATTAATTAGTTAACTAATCACACGCGATTCAATCTATTTCATATATGTCGGCTAACACTAAAGATTTAATCAAAGACTCTGGAAAAAATTAGGAAAGGGTCATACATGTGATGAAAGAAAAACAAGAAAAGGAAATGGAGTTTACTAAAATGAAGAGTGAAATAACTGGATGATTATCATGTGAAATGATGAGCCTGCAGGAAATTAGAACATGCAAGAGCTGTCAGACAGGCAGGCTAGTGACATAGACAACAGACTCACAAGAATAGACATTTTAACACTCCACCTCTGTGATTTAAAGGGAGTACTATAAAGTACCTGCCCAGAAGTACTAATCAGGGATCAGGTATACGTGACAGATGCACACACATCAGATACCAGGTTTGCAGTTTGCATCCCAGCTACAGTTTAGTGCATATCTGGCCTGGCAATCAGCAAAGGCCAGTTGTAGAATAAATCAAACAGCACAGCATAAACAGCTTGAGTAGGTGTACAAGATAATGAACTAGAAGTCAACGGCTTCAGCCTTGCTCTTGGCTTTTCAACATTTGGTCATATAAAGTTACCTTGTTTAAAATGAGTTTCTTTAATCAATTCAGTGAAAATAGGATGCCAGGCTCTCCATGTTGTAGGTGAGCAAGTTGTGAAATTTTTGTAAAAATGATTTGTAAATTTGAAAAGTCTACACTGTTGACAGGTATTTTTATGAAAGAAGATTTCACAATAAATATATGTCCAATTTAATTTTTTAAAAAAGTGTTGACCATGTCATCTCTACAGAATTTATAAGTAGGTATTTTTCAGTAAAATTGGGTATTTTTACCTAACTTCTTCAAAACTTTTTTCTCATGTTTTGGAACACCAGGTGCAGTTATGTTATACATCTTCATACTGTCTCAAAGATCACTGAGGCTCTGTTCATTTTAAATATTTTGATTCCCTCTTTTCTTCTGATTAGTTAAATTTTATATGATGGTTTTCAATTATACATGACTTTTTTCCCCTGCCATTTTTCAATCTGCTCTTAAGCTCATCTAGTGATTTTTTTTCAATTCGACTATTATACATTTAACTCTAGAATTTCTTTTTTAATATACTACATCAGCTATTATCCATCTGGTCATCTGGTAATTCATTATTTTATTTTAAATCCTTGAATATTTGTAATCATACATGCTTTTACACATAGTTTCCTGTAATTGATATTTAATCTCATAGCGTTGTGGTCAGAAAAGATACTTGATACAATTTCAATTTTCTTAAATTTACCAAGGCTTGATTTGTGACCCAAGATATGATCTATCTTGGAGAATGTTCCATGAGCAATTCAGAAAAATGTATATTCTGTTGTGTTTGATCAAATGTCCTATCTGTTGATTCAACATCAGAGTTGCATTTTTTTTACATCTTTATTGGAGTGTAATTGCTTCACAATGGTGTGTTAGTTTCTGCTTTATAACAAAGTGAACCACTTATACATATGTTCCCATATATCTTCCCTCTTGCGTCTCGCTCCCTCCCACCCTCTTTATCCTACCACTCTAGGTAATCACAAAGCACAGAGCTAATCTCCCTGTGCTATGCGGCTGCTTCCCACTAGCTATCTATTTTATGTTTCGTAGTGTACGTTTGGGAGTGTATTTTACGTTTGGCCTGCAGTTTTCTTTCTTTGTGACGTCCTTGTCTGCTTTTGGTATCAGGGTGATGGTGGCTTCGTAGAATGAGTCTGGGAGTGTTCCACCCTCTGCTATATTTTGGAAGAGTTTGACAAGGATAGGTGTCAGCTCCTCTCTAAATGTTTCAAAGTGCCTGTGAAGCCATCTGGTCCTGGACTTTTGTTTGTTGGAAGATTTTTAATCAAAGTTTCAATGTCAGTGCCTGTGGTTGTTCTGTTAATATTTTCTATTTCTTCCTGATTCAGCGTTTGCAGGTTGTGCAACTTAAGAATTTCTTCGTTTCTTCCAGGTTGTCTATTTTATTGGCGTAGAGTTGTTTGTAGTAATCTTTCATCTTTTGTATTTCTGCAGTCAGTTTTTACTTCTCCATTTTCGTTTATAATTCTATTGATTTGAGTCATTTCCCTTTTTTGCTTGATGAGTTTGGCTAATGGTTTATAAGTTTTATCTTCGCAAATAACCAGGTTTTAGTTTTATTGATCTTTGCTATCGTTTTCTTCATTTTTTTTTCATGTATTTCTCACCTGCTCTTTATGATTTCTTTCCTTCTGCTAACTTTGGGGTTCTTTTGTTCTTCTTTTTCTAATTGCTTTAGGTGCAAGATTAGGTTGTTTAACCTTTTCAATAAGTGGTGCTGGGAAAACTGGACAGGTACATGTAGAAGTATGAGATTAGATCACTCCCTAACAGCATGCAGAAAAATAAGCTCATAATGGATTAAAGACTTAAATGTATGGCCAGAAACTTTCAAACTCTTAGAGGAAAACATACACAGAAGACTCTAAGACTAAGTCACAGCAAGATCCTTTTTGACCCACCTCCTTGAGAAATGGAAATAAAATCAAAAATAAATGGGACCTAATGAAACTTCAAAGCTTTTGCACAGCAAAGGAAACCATAAACAAGACCAAAAGACACCCCTCAGAATGGGAGAAAATATTTGTCAATGAAGCAACTGACAAAGGATTAATTTCCAATATTTACAAGTAGCTCATATCATACAAGTAGCTCAATATTTACATGTAGCTCAATAACAAAAAAAAAAACCAAACAACCCAATCCAAAAATGGGCAGAAGACCTAAATAGACATTTCTCCAAAGAAGATATACAGGTTGCCTACAAACACATGAAAGAATGCTCAACATCATTAATCATTAGAGAAATGCAAATCAAAACTAAAATGAGATATCATCTCACACCAGTCAGAATGGCCATCATCAAAAAATCTAGAAACAATAACTGCTGGAGGGGGTGTGGAGAAAATGGAACACTCTGTACTGCTGGTGGGAATGTGAATTGGTACAGGCACTATGGAGAACAGTATGGAGGTTCCTTAAAAAACTACAAATAGAACTGCCATATGACCCAGGAATCCCACTACAGGGCATATACCCTGAGAAAACCATAATTCAAAAAGATCATGTACCAAAATGTTCGCTGCAGCTCTATTTACAATAGCCAGGAGATGGAAACAACCTAAGTGCCCATTGTCGATGGATAAAGATGTGCCACACAATGGAATGCAATGGAATATTACTCAGCTATAAAAAGAAACGAAATTGAGCTAATTGTAATGAGGTGGCTAGACCTAGAGTCTGTCATACAGAGTGAAGTAAGTCAGAAAGAGAAAGACAAGTACCGTATGCTAACACATATATATGGAATTTAAGGGAAAAAAATGTGAAGAACATAGGGGTAAGACAGGAATAAAGACACAGACCTAGTTGAGAACGGCCTTGAGGATATGGGGAGGGGGAAGGGTGAGATGTAACAAAGCGAGAGAGAGGCATGGACGTATATACACTACCAAACGTAAGATAGATAACTAGTGGGAAGCAGCCGAATAGCACAGGGAGATCAGCTCAGTGCTTGGTGACAGCTTGGAGGGGTGGGATAGGGAGGGTGAGAGGGAGGGAGACGCAAAAGGGAAGAGATATGGCTACATACGTATATGTATAACTGACTCACTTTGTTATAAAGCAGAAACTAACACACCATTGTAAAGCAATTATAGCCCAATAAACATGTTAAAAAAAATACAAGAAAGCCTTGCCTAAATGAAAAAAAAAATTAGGTTGTTTATTCGAGATGTTTCCTGTTTCTTAAATTAGGATTCTATTGCTATAAATTTCCCACTTAGATCTGCTTTTGCTGCATCCCATAGGTTTTGGTTCGTTTTGTCTCCATTTTCATTTGTTTCTAGGTATTTTTTTATTTCGTCTTAGATTTCTTCAGTGATCACCTCGTTATTAAGTAGTGTATTATTTAGCCTCCATGTGTTTGTATTTTTTACAGATCTTTTCCTGTAATTGATAGCTAGTCTCATGGCGTTGTGGTCAGAAAAGATAATTGATACCACTTCAATTTTCTTAAATTTACTAAGGCTTGATTTGTGACCCAAGATATGATCTATCCTGGAGAATGTTCCATGAACAATTCAGAAAAATGTATATTCTGTTGTGTTTGATCGAATGTCCTATAAATATCAAATCCATCTTGTTTAATGTATCATTTAAAGCTTGTGTTTCCTTATTTATTTTCATTTTGGATGATCGGTCCTTTGGTGAAAGTAGGGTGTTAAAGTCCCCTACTATGAATGCGTTACTGTTGATTTCCCCTTTTATGACTGTTAGTATTTGCCTTATGTGTTTAGGTGCTCCTAATTTGGGTACATAAATATTTACAATTGTAATATCTTCTTCTTGGATAGATCCCTTGATCATTATGTAGTGTCCGTCTTCGTCTCTTCTAATAGTCTTTATTATAAAGTCTATTTTGTCTGATATGAGAATTGTTACTCCAGCTTTCTTTTGGTTTCCACTAGCATGTCTCTAGGTCTGTTATGGGTCTCTTGTAGACAGCATATACATGGGTTTGTTTTTGTATCCATTCAGCCACTCTGTGTCTTTTGGTGGAGCATTTAAACCATATAAATAAGGTAATTATCGATATGTATTATCGATATGTATGTTCCTATTCTTATTTCTTAATTGTTTTGTGTTTGTTATTGTAGGTCTTTTCTTGCCTTGTGTTTCTTGCCTAGAGAAGATTCTTTAGCATTTGTTGTAAAGCTTGTTTGGTGGTTTTGAACTCAGTTTTTGCTTGTGTGTAAATGTTTTAATTTCTCCATCAAATCTGAATGATACCCTTGCTGGGTAATCTTGGTTGTAGGATTTTCTCCTTCATCACTTTAAATATGTCCTGCCAGTCCCTTCTGGCTTGCAGAGTTTCTGCTGAAAGGTCAGCTGTTAACCTTATGGGGATTCCCTTGTGTGTTATCTGTCTTCCCCTTGCTGCTTTTAATATGTTTTCTTTGTATTTAATTTTGACAGTTTGATTACTATGTGTTTTGGCGTGTTTCTCCTTGGATTTATCCTGTATGGGACTCTGTGCTTCCTGGACCTGATTAACTATTTCCTTTCCCATATTAGGGAAGTGTTCAACTATAATCTCTTCAAATATTTTCTCAGTTCCTTTCTTTTTCTCTTCTTCTTCTGGAACACCTACAATTTGAATATCGGTTTGTTTAATGTTGTCCCAGAGGTCTCTGAGACTGTCCTCAGTTCTTTTCTTTCACTTTATTCTGCTCTGCAGTAGTTATTTCCACTACGTTATCTTCCAGGTCACTTTTCCGTTCTTCTGCCACAGTTTTTCTGCTATTGATCCCTTCTAGAGTATTTTTAATTTCATTTATTGTGTTCTTCATCGTTGCTTGTTTTCTCTTTAGTTCTTCTAGGTCCTTGTTAAATGATTCTTGCATTTTTTTTCTATCCTATTTCCAAGATTTTTGATCATCTTTACTATCATTATTATAAATTCCTTTTCAGGTAGACTGCCTATTTCCTCTTCATTTGTTAGGTGTAGTGGGATTTTATCTTTCTCCTTCATCTGCTGTGTATTTTTCTGTCTTCTCATTTTGCTTATCTCACTGTGTTTGGGGTCTCCGTTTTGCTGGAGGCAGGTTCATAGTTCCCATTCTTTTTGATGTCTGTCCCCAGTAGCTAAAGTTGGTCCAGTGGATTGTGTAGGCTTACTGGTGGAGGGGAGTGGTGCCTGTGTTCTGGTGGATGAGGCTGGATCTTGTCTTTCTGGTGGGCAGGTCCACATTTTGTGGTGTGTTTTGAGATGTGTGTGGACTTACGATTTTAGGCGGCCTCTCTGCTAATGGGTGGGGTTGTGTTCCTATCTTGCTACTTGTTTGACATAGGGTGTCCAGCAGTGTAGCTTGCTGGTCGTTGAGTGAAGCTGGGTGCTGGTGTTGAGATAGATATCGCTGGGAGATTTTCGCCATGTGATATTATGTGGAGCTGGGAGGTCTCTTGTGGACCAGTGTCCTGAAGTTGCCTCTCCCACCTCAGAGGCACAACACTGACTCCTGGCTGCAGCACCAAGAGCCTTTCATCCACACGGCTCAGAATAGAAGGGAGACAAAAGAAAGAAAGAGGAAAAAAAGGAAGAAAGAAAGAAAGAAGATAAAAGGAAAGAAAATAAAGTAACATAAAATAAAATAAAGTTATTAAAAAATAATTATTAAGAAAATTTTTTTAAAAAAATAAAAAAACAAAACAAAAAACCTGACGCATAGAACCCTAGGACAAATGGTGAAAAGAAAGCTATACAGACAAAATTTCACACAAAAACATCCAGCTACACGTGACCAAAAGAGAAGGGAAAAAAACGGTAAATCTTGCTCTCAAAGTCCACCTCCTCAATTTGGGATGATTCGTTCTCTATTCAGGTATTCCAAAGTTGCACAGTTGATGTTGGAGATTATTCCGCTGCTTCTGAGGCTGCTGGGAGAGATTTCCCTTTCTTTTCTTTGCACAGCTCCCGTGTTTCGGCTTTAGATTTGGCCCCGCCTCTGCTTGTAGGTCGCTGGAGGACCTGTTCTTTGCTCAGATAGGACGGGTTAAAGGAGCCGCTGATTAGGGGGCTTTACTCACTCAGGCCGGGGGGATGGAGGGGTTACGGAGTGCGGGGCGATCTTGCGGTGGCAGGGGCTGGCGTGACGTTGCACCAGCCTGAGGTGCCCTGTGCGTTCTCCCGGGGAAGTTGTTCCTGGATCCCGGGACCCTGGCAGAGGAGGGCTGCACAGCCTCCAGGGACGGGAGGTGTGGAGAGTGACAGATGCTCGCACAGTTTTCTTAGTGGTGGCAGCAGCAGCCTGAGCATCTCTTGCCCACCTCTGGAGCTCCTTTAAGCGGAGTTCTTAATCCCCTCTCCTCACGCACCAGGAAACAAAGAGGGAAGAAAAAGTCTCTTGCCTCTTCGACAGGTCCAGACTTTTCCCCGGACTCCCTCCCAGCTAGCCGTAGTGCAGTAACCTCCTCATGCTGTGTTCACGCCACCAGTCCTCTCCCTGCCCTCCGACTGAAGCCCGAGCCTCAGTTCCCAGCCCCGCCAGCCCTGGCGGTTGAGCAGAAAAGCCTCTCGGGCTGGTAAGTGCCGGTCGGCACCGATCCTCTGTGCTGAAATCTCTCTGCTTTGCCCTCTGCACCCCTGTTGCTGTGCTCTCCTCTGCGGCTCCGAAGCTATCCCCCGCTGCCACCTGCAGTCTCCACCCGCAAAGGGGCTTCTAGTGTGTGGAAACCTTTCCTCCTTCAAGGCTCCCTCCCACTGGTGCAGGTCCCGTCCTTATTCTTTTGGCTCTGTTTATTCTTTTTTCTTTTGCCCTACCCAGGTACGTGGGGACTTTCTTGCCTTTTGGGAGGTCTGAGGTCTTCTGCCAGCGTTCAGTGGGTGTTCTATATGAGCAGTTCCACATGTAGATGTATTTCTGTTGCATCTCTGGGGAGGAATGTTATCTCTGCATGTTACTCTTCCGCCATCTTCCGCTTCTCTTCCCAGAGTTGCATTTTGATGTTGACTTTTTTCTTTGATCAAGAGTCACATTTACTTAATTCTTAGAAAGTCTATTAATTTTTTACTGTATACACAATATTGTAGATGATACCTCATAAAGAGCATTGACAGTTATTTTTTTTAAAAGAATGTTGAATGCTTTCTTATAATTGATTTAATGCTGGTGCTTTTGATCTTGTCATAGAATGATTTAAGCTTTATCTAAAGTAGGCACAACCATTCTGGTGTCAACCAAATATCCTGGTGTTAATGACATTTCTCCACTCTTCTGGTCTGTAACTCTATTAATGGCAAACACTGTGTATTTCTGGTATATTTATCCTCTTAATACTACAATGGTGACACTATTTTTTTTTTTTTTTCTGTACGCGGGTCTCTCACTGTTGTGGCCTCTCCCTTTGCGGAGCACAGGCTCCGGACACGCAGGTCCAGCGGCCACGGCTCACGGGCCCTGCCGCTCCACGGAATATGAGATCTTCCTGGACCAGGGCACGAACCCACGTCCCCTGCATCGGCAGGTGGACTCTCAACCACCTGTGCCACCAGGGAAGCCCCTACAATGGCCACACTTTGATAGGACTTTCATAGTCTCAAGTTGTGAGCTACTTATTGAAGGCATGCTCACTATGACACCCTAATATGTAATTGTAAGGTCATAACCTCAAGAAAAGTTACAAAATTTGTGTTATGCTTTTGCCAGCTGATTTACTAATTCTTTCATGTATTTTCTGTTCAGCATGCAAAACTAATATTGGCAGAGGATACTAAAGGCTAATTTTGTTCAAAAAGTACTTTGTTGTTAAACGATTTTTAAAAGCCAACAGAAAATGTTCAATGTAATATAGAAGACTGTAAATATTTTAAAATTTAAGCAGTTCCCTTTTTTCTGAAAGAAATTTGAGGGGAACCTTTATATGCTACATTGCCTGTGTTAATAAAATATGGAAAGGCAAAATTCCTATCATTAAAAAAAAACATATACAACATGTTGCACAATCACAATCTTAAAACCACCGAAATTTAATGTTTTCTTAAGAGGACTTTGGTTGCCAGAAAAAAATTCATGAGAAGAATTTTTAGGTTATAGATAGGTAAAATAATATAGAAAGTTTAACCTCAAATTTTAAGTGGCACACATGGAATTCTACAGTCAGGAAGAACAGTCTAAATTATCTACCTAAAAACAAGCATGAATCAAGTAGCCTTCAAATTAGATCAGTTACATTTGAGCTAGGCTTTTTATTGAAAATATTTTTATGAATACTTCTATGTTAAACAAAATGGTAGCAAAGATTTTTTGAAACTCACCTAATGCTGTTCTTGCTGGTGTAGCATCTTTTTTGATCCAAAATGATACCCAGGATAAAACCACAGTCAGTATACAAGGAATGTATGTTTGAATAGTGAAGTATCCCATTCTTCTACTCAATTCAAAATATATAGTCATGACAACATAATCACCTGTAATAAAACATTGTCAAAATTAACTTTCTTGTGTTAAAATAATTCAAAGAAATAAATTATTAAAACATTTTGTTAAATGAATAACGGATAAATATATTCAAGTACAACATTCATCAAACTGGGGAGTCAAAATTCTGGGGCTCTTAATTTTTATCATATCCGTGGTCCTGTGAGGCATTTTACTGTAAAAGGCACAAAAAGATATGTATTAATTAGAAGTGATAGATATGCACATTTATTCCACAGGAGATCATTATCTAATGTTCAGCTGTATGTTGCATGCTTAAAATCAAGGATAACAAATCAACCCTCAAGTAAATCCATTTTCATTTTGCTTTCTTAACAGTAATAGATGTACACATAAACTTTCAAAACTAAACTCCTGTAACAAATTTATATTTCTATTTTTTAGTATGAATTGCATCTTGCTACCACTGTAAATTTTCAAAACTTTATTATGGTCTAGTTGTGACCCAGGTTAAGCCACCCCAAAATGTGTCTAAATAGCATATTGATTATTTTGAATTAAAGTTACTTAAGAAATGCCAACATAAGAGGGACACTCTGACTCTCCTCTCTGTATCTGAAAGCAGAAAAAAAAATCTCTCATGTGAAAGGGGCACTCCCCGCATCTAGAGGTAGGACTTCCTTATCACAAAGAAGCCTGTATAAAAAACTTTGTCCCGTGTCAATTTTACAATTAGTCCAGCCACAAGAACTCAAGGGGGGATGATGGGGAATTACTCCGTCCCCAACAGTCTACACCATTCTGCATGAAATGCCCCTTGCACCTATATTCTTTGCACTACTGGTCTCCCCAGGTCCTCTGATTTGCCAAGATCCTTCCTCAATTGCTGCTGCATCCCTTCCCTACTGCCTAAGATGCTTTTCTTTTCCTATCACTTGCATCCAGATAGTTACAAGTCAACTTTGAAGCGCAGCTTAGAAATCATTTAGCCTGCCAGGAAGCGTTCCTTATCTGTTCCTAACAACTGCAATAAAGTTATTTCTATAATTACCTATAAAAACAATGTTGTCTTAAGAACAATAAATTAGTTGGGTTATAGAATATATGTCTTTTATCAATGTTACTTGGTAAGCAATCAACTGGTAATTGTTTAATGAAAAGATCACCATGAAAGTCCCATTTTTACTTAAAAATATTGATAGGGAAAGCATATTAAGCCAGTATAAAATTATACCTCTCATTAAATTAGAATATTTATTGAGGAATGTGGTGTTCTGTTTTAGCAATATTCAGGATGGCTGATAGAACAATTATTGAGATCATTTTTCCAAGAAACATTTAAATATTTTAGCAAATTCCAGTATAAAAGAATCCGAATGATTAACCTGAAGCAATAAATAAAACCCACAAATATAGTTTTCTAAGTAATATGAAAGTCAAGTTACATCATTTCCTTGGGAAATTTTATTGAATTATGTGTGATATTTAAATGTTTATGAATTTACAGAAAACAGTAGACAGAAAAGCAAAACCTAATAAATCACCCTAACTGTTATGAACACACCCAAGTGGAATATACAAAGAGTTGAATAATTTCTTCAACCACCATTGTCATTTCCTAAGATAAACAGTAGGACAACTCCAGAGTAGGCACATAATTCATTTTAGCAAATACATCCTCTTTGGCCTAACCTGAGGTGAACAGGTACCCCAAATCTTGGGTTCAGAATACCCCTTTGCCTAACTCAGAGGTCTGCCTGAACGTCCCACTGTCAGGTGTGAAAGTAGGAAGGGACAGTCAAGGACACATTTTGAAGCCAGATTATTTTCAAATAACTTCTTTTTTCTTTCTTTCTTCTTTCTTTCATTCTTTTTTTTTCTTTGTTCTTTCTTCCTCTTTCATTCTTTCTTTCTTTCTTATTTTTGGCTGTGTTGGGTCTTCATTGCTGCACGGATGCTTTCTCTAGTTGCATGTAGAATCTTCCTTGACCAGGGCTCAAACCCGTGTCTCCTGCATTGGCAGGAGGATTCTTAACTATTGCACCACCAGGGGAAGTCCTGGCTCTTGGTGAGGTTCTGGGACACACCACAGAAACTGGTTCCAGAGAACCCCCTCGTTCCTATTTTCCAGCTTCTACTTGGAGAAGCGGGGGCAGGAAGAATTGTGATTTCCGGCTTCACTGGCCCCTACAGGAAGACCAACGAAAAGCCAATATGCTACTCATCCCAAATTGGCTAGGGCAAAAGAAATAAGGAAAAATAGAGACAAAAGAGTAGGGATGAAACCTGCACCAGTGAGAAGGAGCTGTGAAAGAGGAAAGGTTTCCACACCCTAGGAAGCCCCTTCACGGGCGGAGACTGTGGGTAGCGGAAGGTGGAAGGCTCGTAGCCAGGGAGGAGAGTGCAGCATCAGGGGTTCAGAGGGCAAAGCAGAGAGATTCCCACACAGAGGATCAGTGACGACCAGTTCTCACCAGCCTGAGAGGCTTGTCTGCACACTCGCCAGAATGGGTGGGGGTGCGAGCTGAGTTTCAGGCTTCGGTCAGATCCCAGGGAAAGGTTTGGGTTGGCTGCATGAACACAGCCTGAAGGGAGCTAATGCAACATTGCTGGCCAGGAGGGAGTCCGGGAAAATGTCTGGAGCTGCTGAAGAACCGTTTTTTTTGCTTGTTTCCTGGTGTGCAAAGAGAGGGGATTAGGAGTGCCGCTTAAAGGAGATTCAGGGATGGGCGCAAGCCACGGCTATTAACGCACACCTCAGAGACAGGAATGAGATGCTAAGGCTGTAGCCACCAAGAAGCTTGTGTGGAAGCACAAGTCACTCTCCACACCTCTTGTCCCAGGAGCCTGTGCAGCCCACCACTGCCAGGGTCCTGTAATACAGGGACCACTTCCCCTGAAGAACACACGGCGCACCTCAGGCTGTTGTAATGTCATGCTGGCCTCTGCCGTTGCAGGCTCGCTCCGCTTTCTGTACCTCTCCCGCCACCCGGGTTGAGTGAATCAGAGCCCCCGAATCAGCTGCTACTTAAACCCTGTCCTATCTGAGCGAAGTACAGATGCCTGCCCTCAGGCGACCTCCATGCAGAGTGGATTAAATATCCACAACCAACTTGATGTACCGTGTACCTGTGGAGTACCTGAATAGACAACGTATCATCCCAAATTGACAAGGTGGACTTTGCGAGCAAAGATTATATATATATATATATATATATTTTTTTTTTTTCTTTATTCTCTTTTGTGAGTACGTATGTGGAGGCTTCTGTGTGTCATTCAGTCGGTATAACTTTGCTTTTAACATTTATCCAAGAGTTCTGTCTGTTTTTTGTTTTTGTATAGTTTTTAGCACTAGTTATCATGGTGGACCTGATTTTTAGTGTGTTTGTTCTTTCTTTTCTTTTTTTATTACTTAAAACATTTATAAAATAATTTTTTATTTTGCAGTCTAGTAACATTTTATTTTACCTTTTTCTTTCTTCTTTCTTTTTTCTCAATTTTATTCTGAACCGTGTGGATGACAGGCTCTTGGTGCTCCAGCAAGACTTAACGGATGTGCCGTTGAGGTGGGAGAGCCAAGTACAGGACACTGGCCCACAAGAGACCTCCAAGCTCAACGTAATATAAAAACAGTGAAAATCTCCTACAGATCTCCACCTCAACACAAAGACCCAGCTACACTCAACGACCAGAAAGCTACAGTGCTGGACACCCCATACCAAACAACTAGCAATACAGGAACACAACACCATCGACTAGCAGAGAGGCTGTCTATAACCATAATAATACCATGGACACCACAAAACAAACCACCAGGGCAGACCAGCCAACCAGAAAAACAAGATCCTGCCTCATTCACCAGAACACAGTCACTATCACCTCCACCAGGAAGTCTACACAACCCACTGAACCAAACTTAACCACTGGGGACAGACACCAAAAACAGCAGGAACTAGCAACCTGCAGCCTGCGAAAAGGAGACCCCAAACACAGTAAGTTAAGCAAAATGAGTAGACAAACACACAGCAGGTGAAGGAGCAAAGACAAAAGCCACAAGATGTAACAGATGAAGAGGAAATAGGCAGTCTACCTGAAAAATAATTCAGAAAAATGATAGTAAAGATGATCCAAAACCTTGTAAATAAAATGGAGAAAATACACGAAACGTTTAACAAGGAAATAGAAGAACCAAAAAGCAAACTGTGATGAACAACACAATAAATGAAATTAAAAATTCTCTAGAAGGGATCAATAGCAAAATAACTGAGGCAGAAACATGGATCTGTCACCTTCAAGATAAAACAGTGTAAATACCACAGATCATAATAAAGAAAAAAGAATGAAAAGAATTGAGGACAGTCTCAGAGACTTCTGGGACATTAAATGCACCAGCATTCGAATTATAGGGGTCACAGAAAAAGAAAAGATAAAGAAAGTTAGAAAATATTTGACGGGATTACAGTTGAAAACTTCCTTAATATGGGAAAGGAAATAGTTAAGTCCAGGAGCACAGAACGTCCCATTCAGGATAAATCCAAGGAGATACATGCCAAGACACATATTAATCACACTATCAAAAATTAAAGAAAAAACTTTAAAAGCAGCAAGGGAGAAACAATGAAAAACACACAAAGGTATCCCCTTAAGATTAACAGCTGATCTCTCAGCAGAAACTCTACAAGAAGAGACTGGCAAGACATATTTAAGGTGATGACAAGGGAAAATCTACAACCAAGATTACCCAGCAAGGATCTTATTCAGATTTGCCAGAGGAAAACCTTTATAGACAAGCAAAAGCTAAGAGAATTCAGCACCACCAAAACAGCTTTACAACAATTGCTAAGAAATGTCTCTAGGCAGGAAACACAAGTGGAGGGAAAGAACTACTATAAAAAACCCAAACAATTAAGAAAATGGTATGAGGAACATACATATCGATAATTACATTAAATGTAAATGGATTAAATGTTCCAACCAAAAGACACAGAAAGGCAGAATGGATAGAAAAACAAGACCCATATGTATGCTATCAACAAAGGACCCACTTCAGACCTAGGAATACTAAAGAATGAAAGAGAGGGGATGGAAAAAGATATTCCATGCAAATGGAAATCAAAAGGAAGTTGGAGAGGAAATTCTCATGTCAGACAAAATAGACTTTAAGACAAACACTACATAATGATCAAGGGTTCGATCCAAGAATATATAACAATTGTAAATATTTATGTACCTAACATAAGAGCACCTCAATATATAAGGTAAATACTAACAGCCACAAAAGGGGAAATCGACAGTAACAAATCATAATAGGGGACTTTAACACCCCACTTTCACCAAAGGACAGATCAGTCAAATGAAAATAAATAAGGAAACAGAAGCTTTAATAGATATATTAAACAAGATGGACTTAATTGATAATTTTAGGACATTCCATTAAAAAACAACAGAATACACATTCTTCTCAAGTACTCATGGATCATTCTCCAGGATAGATTGTATCTTGGGTCACAAATCAAGCCGTGGTATATTTAAGAAAAGTGAAATCATATCAAGTATCTTTTCTGACCACAACGCTCTGAGACTAGATATAAGTTACAGGCAAAAATCTGTAAAAAATACAAACTTATGGAAGCTAAAGAAAACACTACACAATAACCAAGAAATAACTGAAGAAATCTAAGAGGAAATCAAAAAGCACATAGAAACAAATCACAATGAAAACAAGACGACCCAGAACTTACCGGATGCAGCAAAATAAGTTCTATAAGGAAGTTTATAGCAATACAATCCTACCATAAGAAACAGGAAACATCTCAAATAAACAACCTAACCTTGCACCGAAAGCAATTAGAGAAAAGAGAACAAAAAATCTCCACAGTTAGCAGAAGGAAAGAAATCATAAAGACCTCATCAGAAATAAATGAAAAAGAAATGAAGGAAATGATAGCAAAGATCAATAAAACTAAAAGCTGGTTCTTTGAAAAGATAAACAAAATTGATAAACCATTAGCCATACTCATGAAGAAAAATAGGGAGGACGCTAGTAAATACAATTAGAAATGAAAAAGAAATAACAACCGACATTGCAGAAATTTAAAGGATCATGAGCGATTACTACAAGCAACTATATCCAATGAAAAGGACGACCTGGAAGAAATGAACAAATTCTTAGAAAGGTACAACATTCAGAGACTTAAAAAGGCAGAAATAGAAAATATGAATAGACCAATCACAAGCACTGAAATTGAAACTGATTAAAAACCTTCCAACAAACAAAATCCCAGGACCAGTTGGCTTTACAGTTGAATTCTATGAAACATTTAGAGAAGTGCTAACACCTATCCTTCTCAAACTCTTCCAAAATATTGCAGAGAGAGAAACATACCTAAACTCATTCTACGAGGCCACCATCACCCTGATACAAAAACCAAAGATGTCACAAAGAAACCTACAGGCCAATACCACTGATGAACGTAGTTGCAAAAATCCTCAACAAAATACTAGCAAACAGAATCCAACAGCACATTAAAAAGATCATACATCATGATCAAGTGGAGTTTATTGCAGGAATGCAAGGAATCTTCAATATATGTAAAGCAATCAATACGAAACACCATATTTATTAACAAAATGGAGAAAAACCATATGATCATCTCTATAGTTGGAGAGAAAGCTTTCAAATAATTCCACACCCATTTATGATTAAAAAAAAAACCCTCCAAAAAGTAGGCTTAGAGGGAACTTTCCTCAACATAGTAAAGGCCATATATGACAAACCCACAGCCAACATCGACCTCAGTGGTGAAAAACTGAAACCATTTCCACTAAGTTAAGGAACAAAACAATGTTGCCCAGTATCATCACTAATATTTAATATAGCTCTGGAAGTTTTCGCCACAGCAATTGGAGAAGAAAAAGAATAAAAGCAATTCAAATCGGAAAAGAAGAGGCAAACTTCTCACTGTTTGCAGATGACATGATACTATACATAGAGAATCCGAAAGATGGTACCAGAAAAGTACTGAGTTAATGAGTTTGGTCAAGTAGCAGGATACAAAATTAGTTCACAGAAATCTCTTGTATTCCTATACACTAATGATGAAATATCTGAAAGTGAAATTAAGAAAAAACTCCCATTTACCCATTTGCTCTGCAACAAGAGAAGCCACTACATTGAGAAGCCTGCACACCGATATAAATAGTCCCCACTCTCCACCACTAAGGAAAGCCCATGCACAGCAAGGAAGACCCAACACAACCAAAAGTTAAAAAATTAAAAAAAACTCTCCTAATTTCTTCTGTCTTCCCGGCAACTGAGCCCAACGTAATGTTTATTATGTTGCTGCATCCGTTCCTAGTTTACTCATTAATCTTTTATGTTCATCATGTTTTTCTAGTGAGACTGAAAGCTCCTTGCTCCAGTGAATGTTTTTCATACTTTTCTTAACCCTCAATAGCATAAAAATTACTCCGGCTACTACCTCAACTCCACCAGTCCCTCCATTTGCCACTTCCCTTTCTCTTAGGGTTAATTTTAAAACAAGTGTTCAACCTGCCTTCACCTTTCCTTTTGTTTAACATCATCTTGCTTACAACGGAAAAGGAATATCAGTATCAATGTTTGACATTTAAATGTTAGATCACCCAGTTTGGTTACCCTCTTTTGCTCAGGCTTACACCCCAGAAGGCTGCTAGTTCATTTCAAATTCTCCAGGAATGTAATTACATTATTAATTTAAGTGACTATTTTGGTAAAAACTTCCCCCAAACATGTCCCTTTATGTAGTTTCCAAAGTATATTTATATAATTATGATCTTCCATTCTTTTAACCTTATCAATATTTAATATTTAAACATAAATGTTATTTCTCACCTTTACTATTGTGACATTTGTGAAGTTTTCTTTTCTCTGCAGATCAGTTTTTAAAACCTTTCTCCCTGTGTAAATGTAGCACAGCCAGGAGTTTCACAAGCCCAGATTCAAACAACCGTGGATCGAAAATATTTGAAAAATATTTTTTCCAGAAAGTTAAAAAAAGCAAACTTGAATTTGCCTTGCACGGAAAAGGACAATTGAACCTTGAGCAACAGGAGTTAGGGGCACCAACCCTCCATTCAGTTGAAGCTCCATATATACGTGCTCTTCAGTATATATGGTTCTCTGATTCCTTCGCATCTGCGGTTCTGCATATGGGGATTCAACAAACTGGGATTGTGTAGTACTGTATAGTACTTACTACAAGGAAATCCAAATATAAGTGAACATGTGCAGTTTAAACTGTGTTGTTCAAGGGTCAACAATTTACATAGCATTCATATTCTATTTACAACTGTTTAGCATTTACTTTGTATTAGGTATTATAAGTAATTTAGAGATGATTTAAAGTATACAGGAAGATGTAAGTTAAATGCAAATACTATGCCATTTTATGTAATAAGCTTGAGCAACTGGGATTTTGATATCTTTACCTGGAATGACTCACCATGGATATCAAGGGGCAACTATAGTTCCCTATTTAGAATTATATCAAGAATTTAGACTGTTCTTTAAAGATAGTTACATTAATTATTAAAATTTACACTTAACATAGTCATATGAAACAAATTATTGAGTTTTAAAAGCCAATAAATGATTCATATTAACAAATAACTAGATCAGCAGAAAAGCCGACTTGAAACCAATCTAATCCCCAAGACCTGTCAGAAAATAACTAACTGCAAAATAGTGGACCATAGATTCCTATTGTGGAAATTACCAAAAAACAAACAAAAGCCATAAAACAAACAAAAAAAATGTATTTAAAGACATTAATAAAGCATGTCTCTGTATCTAGTTGTAGAACTTGTAGAACTCTCACACTTAGGAAATTGGTTTATATAAATCTGGTCAAGGATGAGAATCTTAGGTTTATAGACATAATGTCAACATAGTCTCAATTTAAAAATATAAGATAATCTTGTCACCCTTTTCCCAATCCCAGTTAAAATACTAAATATTTTTGAGCTTTGAATCAGCTGTTTTGCCTCAAATGTCATTTAAGAATCATGCTGATCCGAATATAATTATTTTAAACATACACAGGAAGAAATCTGCATGAAAGGGAAAGGTATGCCTAAGTCATCAGTGGGAAAAAGTCGGATTTGTTTTTGAGAACTACACTTCTGTAAGTTAACTACTACCTGCAGATGTTTTCACAATTTCTGTGGTGTTTCTGAGGCCCATGAAGTCAAACTGATAAAGCCGCCAGGATTTCTGATCAGCTGCCTCAACCGAATTTTTTCTCCATCTATAAATCATTTCTTCTTTGGGGTAGCCATCTGAAAATGCAGAAAAAAATAACACTTGAAAGATGTAGGTTTGTAAAGCATTAATGTCGAAATTATAATGCTGATCATTTAATAGGAGCTGAAATTTTATCCATGGGCAAAGGTCACCTAACCCAGAAGGTTTCTACTGCAGATCTTCACAATCAGCAAGATATTCCAAGCCACAAGTGTTTCCATCATCTGTATGGACACAACACATATCTTTCACTGTGGAAGGCTTGATTATAGATGACGTTCAAAGAATGCACATGAAAGTACTGGTCAGAGTCTCACTAGCTCCTAAACACCAGGATCTAACAACCTGGCCCACACTCACCAGACCTTCCACCTTTTTCCTGAACTTTGTCCAGATCTCAGGAAAGGTGATTTTACTTTTTTCATTATAAACTTTTATTATAAATAGCTTTTATTATTTCCAACATATTTATTTTTTTATTATTGAAGTGTAGTTGTACAATATGTCATGTGTACAGTATAACGGGTCACAATTTTTTAAAGGTTATAAACTACATTTATAGTTATAAGATACTAGCTATATTTCCTGTGCTGTACAATATATCCTTGTAACTTATACAAAACAGTTTACACGTTTTGATTCCCTAACTTCTATTGCCCTCATTTCCTTCTCCCCACTGGTAACCACTAATGTCTTCTCTAATCTATGTCTGCTTCTCTTTTGTTTGTTGTATTTTTAAATTCTGCACTTGTGATATCATTCATGCAGTATTTGTCTTTCTCTCTCTGACTTATTTCATTTAGCATAATAACTTTAAGAAAGACAATAAGGATTTGAGAGGTCAACTTACTCTGTTATGCTCTTTTAGTCTCCAGTTCTGATCAGTTTGACATTTTCCTGAGACCATTATCCAACTTGTTAGTTACTCTAGAAAAGCAAGATATTTTGGTGTTCTATGCTCAGTGTGGGCAACATGCCCAGAGCTGGGTGTCTTGGATAAGGGTTCTCCCCCACTCCTACTGGTAGTTAGCAGGGTTCTGTTGGCTCCCTAAGCCCAAGCCAGTGATTGGCCCGATGCTTGTTTTTCAACTCCTGGATTCCCTTTCTGAACAGCACTTGGGACCGCAACGTTAAACTCCCCGGAACTCTCTGATGTAATAGAGTACAAGTACGCTTCCTGCTTTCTAACTGTGGATTACTCTGTGAAATTATTGTCAACATTGCAAGGATACTTACTTGCTCTCCCCTAACCGGACAAAGTTGACATCAAGGCATTAGACTCAGCCTGAAGTAACCAAACATTTTACTTGGCCATTAGCCACTGTCTCAATAGATTTATCTCCTCATTAAACTATCAAATTATAAAAGGTACTTTATGCTATAATTCTTTTTTATTTGTTTTGTTAAACAGCTTTATTGAGATATAAAACTGACACATTTAACATACAAGTTTGGTGTTTTTCAGTATACTCTCAGAGTGGTGAAACTGTCACATAAATCTAATTTTAGAGTATTTTTATCATCCCAAAATGTAACCTTAGTCATTAGCATTCACTCCCAACTCCACCTCCTTAACACATATCATGCATTGCTCCCAGACCTAGACAACCACTAATATATTTTCTGTCCATAGGTTTGCCTATTCTAGGCATTTCATATAAATTGAGTCATACTACATGTTATCTTTTATAACTTTCTTTACTTAGCATAATGTATTCAAGGTTCACTCACACTGTAGCACGTCAGTACTTCATTCCTATTTATTGCTCAATAATATTCTGTTGCATGGATATGCATTTTTTAAAATCTATTTGTCATTTGATAGACATTTCGTCTGATCTACTTTTACACTATCATGAATAATGCTGTTAGGAACATTGTGTACAAGATTTTGTGTCAATATGTTTTCAGTTTTCTTCAGAATATACCTAAGAGTGGAACTGTTGGTCATGGGTTTACTCTATATTTAATACTTCTCCAACAGTCATAGAGGTGTCAGGTTGTAACTTACTGTTGTTTAATTTGCATTTCCCAAATGGTTGTTATTGAGGATCTTTCCATGGATTTATTGGTCATATATATGACAAGTTTGCTAGGGTATGTTCACATCTTTTGCTCATTTTTAAATTGGATTTTTTCCCCATATTTTGGAGTTTGGAGCTGTGTATTTTGTATTCAACTCCTTTATCAGACATATGTTTTACAAATATTTTCTGCCATTATGCTGTTTATATTTTTATTTATCCATTTTTCAAAGTTTTATTATAAATTTATTGAGGCAGAGTTTCCTCTTAAGCACTTTGAAGATACCATGTAATTGTCTTTTGGCCCCTATGGTATCTGAAGGGAAATCAGCTGTTAATCATATTGAAACTTAAAAATGATAATTTTTCCCTTGCCTATTTCAAAATTTTCTCTGACTTTTGTCAATTTGACTATGATATGATAAGCGTGGATCTCCTTGAGTTCATTGAAGTTTGTTGAGTTCTTGGATGTATAGACTACTCCTCTGGGACTCCTACTAACTGTATGTTGTTGATCATGGTGTGCCATAGGTTTACGAGTTTTGATACACCTTTTTCCTTTTTTTCCCATTTTTTTCCTGTCTTTGGATAAAATCTACTGGCCTGTCTTCAAGTTTGCTGATCCTTTGTTCTGTCTACTCCAATCTATTTGTTACAGTTTCCTTTAATTTTTGGACACGGGTTGCTGTAGTTCTTCAAAAGTATTTAAGATAGGTGACTTAAGGTCTTTGTCAAGTACATCCAACATCTGGGATTCTTCAAGGATGACTTCTACCGACAGCTTTTATTCCTGTGTATGTGGCATGCTTTCTCATTTGTAGGTTCTGTAAATGTTGATAAAAAATGTCTGGAAATGAGACATTTTACATTTTCGATAATATATTGTGACAACACTGGTATCTGAACCCTCTGTGCGCACCAGGGTTTGTTTTGGTCTTGTTGGGATCTGCGTGTGAAAGCAATTTATGAGAAAACCTTAGTTTTAACTCCTGTGCTTGAGAAATTTCCACAAGGCCAGAGGTGAGTGATAGGGGTCTATAGTTTGTCTATAACAAATCCACCAATGATAACAACTGCTAAAAACTAAACTAAGATAAACATAAAAATCAAGAACTGGTCAGTCGCATCCAGCAAAACCCTAATCTACATTTCCTCCCAAAGTTCCCAGCCTCAATTTTGAGATGATTTGTTGTCTATATAAGTATTACACAGATGCAGTGTACAAGTTGATTGTAGATATTTAATCTGCTTCTCCTGAGGCTGCAGGGAGAAATTTCCTTCTCTTCTTTGTTTGCACAGCCCCTGGGGTTCAGCTTTGGATTTGTCCCAGCCTCTGCATGTTGCTTACCCTCTGGTGTCTGACAGGAGGTGGCTCACTCAATCCAAGGGGAGGGAGTGGTACAGAATGAGGGGTGTGAGCCTGTGACGGCAGAGGCCAGTTTGATGTTACAACAGACTGATCGTACCATGTGTTCTCTCAGAAAAGTGGTCCCTGGATCACGGGACCCTGGCAGTGGTGGGCTACACAGGCTCCCAGGAGGGGAGGTGTGGATAGTGACTTGTACTTGCACACAGGATTCTTGGTGGCTGCACCAGCAACAGGCATTTCTTGCCTGTCTCTGGTGTTCACACTGATAACCGCCGTTTTTGTCCATCTCTGAAGTTCATTTAGGCAGTCCTCTGAATCCCTTCTCATCACACACCCCAAACAATTGTCTCTTGTCTCAGGCAGGTCTAGACTTTTCCTGGACTCCCTCCCAGCTAGCTGTGGCACACTCACCCCCTTCAGGCTGTGTTCACACAGTCAACCCCAGTCATCTTCCTGGGGTCTGAACTCCAAATCCTGAGCCTCAGCTCCTAGCCCCCACCTGATCTTGTGCTTGAACAGATTCGCTTCTCAGGCTGGTGAGAGCTGGTCAGCACCAACTTTCTGTGTGAGGATCTCTCCGCTTTGCCTTCTGCACCCCGGTTGCTACACTCTCCTCTGTGGCTTCCAAGAATACCCCTGCTCACACCCTGTCTCCACCAGTGAATGGGCTTCCCAGTGTGTGGAAATAGTTCCTCCTTCACAGCTCCCTCCCTGAGATGCAGGTCTCATCCTATTCTTTTGTTTCTGTTTTTTCTTTTCTAAGTTAAAGCCCGTATTAATTATCATTAATTTTACATATTACATAATATGTATGCTCTTACATATTATATATCCCCTAACAATTTTATCTCCATTATATCCTATGGTCGCTCCATTAGATCACGAGCTTAATCACCATGCCGCGTGAAACCAGCAACCCGCTCGGCAGGGATCCTTCTTCTCGCACCGGGCCCATATCTCGTGGGGGTAGCTAACAGTGATCTTTATAAGACATCTGGTTCTTACTTCAGGACCATTTTAACTTAAAATTGCCCACTCGTTCCTCTTAAATAAGACATCTCGATGGACTTATGACTAATCAGCCCATGCCTAACATAACTGAGGTTTCATACATTTGGTATTTTTTAATTTTTGGGGGGGGGCTGCACCGACTCAGCTATGGCCTTAAAAAGGCCCTGTCACAGTCAGATAAATTGTAGCTGGACCTGTGTGTATTTTTTATTGGACTAGCACAACCAACAGGTGTTATTTAATTAATGGTTACAGGACATAGTACTCTATTATTGCCCCCGGGCTCAAAAAACTCTATCTCATAGAGGTTTAAACCCCCCTTCCCCCTTACAAAACTGATCGTCTGTTTTAATATTCATCACCCCCCTACAGTGTTTCGTCCCTAGATCTACGCGCACTTTTTTTAATAAATCAATACTAAATCTGACACAAGCCCCATAATGAAATTATACAAATAATTTTCTACTCCACAAGTTAATGTAGCTTAAAATTTTATAAAGCAAGACACTGAAAATGTCTAGATGGGCATTACTGCCCCATCAACACAAAGGTTTGGTCCTGGCCTTTCTATTAGTTTTTAGCAGACTTACACATGCAAGCATCCGCATCCCAGTGAGAATGCCCTCCAAAT